CTATTCCAGTTCATCTCCTCATCTCGAAATTCCTCCTTACTTGGCAGTCAAACAATGAAGTATATCAGAAAAGACTCCAGTAACAGAATCAGCACTTCTCTATAGCCTGACTTTGAATAGACAGGGCTATATTTCTTCCCTTTCAAAGAAAAAAAACTTCTTCCCTTTCATGCAGTCTTCTGACACAAATTACATTTAAAGCCTATTCTCCCAATGTTTCTGGAAGTCATTCAGCTGATTTTACAGCCCACCATGACTGCATCAGATTTTCAACTTTATAGTTCAAGGTCTTTTTCATTATATGTCCTCTCGCAAATCACAGTAGTACTGTATCATCAGCAAGGTAATAACCTACCTTTCAGGGTTACTGTATAACTGCAAGATGTTATACAGAAGAAACTTTGACTCCTCTGAAGTTATATATAAATGCTTATACAATGCTGATGCTTCTATATAGATATCATTTCAGTACATATGCCATATACAATGATGTCAACAGTACTTCAACTGTAGTTGCTAGCGAAGGAGTTGCTATTTCTTTCCTTAAGATAATGATAAAAATTGTACCTCTCCTTTTCTCTCTTTCCAACCTGTTAATATATCTATAAGCTGTTTCACGCTTAGAAAAGAGGTCAGGAATTTGTGGCTTGTCAAGTGTTGCTGAACTATATTGCCAGCAAGCCAAGGCTGAGAGGTGCTAGGACCACAATTCAATAACATTTGGCAGGCTATAACCATCAGTTCTCATTCAGTGAGCAGAAATACACTTGGAATGCAGCATTCTTATTATACTAAACTCCTGGGTAAGATCCTGCATGCATTGCCTATACATCGAAACAGAATGCCTGTATCAAAAAACAAACTTTTTATTTGCATATTTCATTGGTTAGATGGGTGGCTATAGAAATTAAATAAATTAAAAAAAAAGTTTCATTAAGTCACCCCAGAAGCTTATTACTCCCGATGATGGAAATAAATTCATTTTATGCTTTAGGAACATAGGAAGTTGTCGTATTTAGATTCAGCTTGTTACAGGGATTTTAATTAACATTGAGCATGTTCAATGTTCAACACTAAGCGTGCTTCAAAGGAACATGTTGGTTTGATAAAGTCTCCAGTGAAACAGTCTCTTGAAGCAGCTTCATGCTCGGCATTGCATTTCTCTCTTTGTCTCCTAGAAGAGGCTTCTGAGCATGTATTGTGAATATTTAAAATATGCAGGCTGAGCTTGCAAGAGACAAGGCTCCTTTGTCAAGGCAGATCCCTTCATCTCTTCACCTCCATGAAGAGAAGACTCAAACCACTTCTGTAGCCAAAGCTCTTTGTTTATGTTTGCCCAAGCCACCTCCTACATGACCAGTGATCACTTTCAATCTTGCACATTGTGGAACAGCTTCTACCAGTGACATTCATTCCTGCCACTGTCACCCTGGTTATTCTTCTGGGACATCCTGACATTCTGAATGGCTGCTAACATCAAAATAGCATTGCCCTACTTTATAAGTGATGTGCAGATCTCCCCAGCACGAACACAGACTATTTCAGCCTCCAGCAATCTTCTCCCCCACTCCTTCTGAAGAGATTGGCCAATTTCCTTCTTTGTGCAGCTGGTTCAAGCAGCCTATTGGGAAATCTTCAAGGGTATAGAATTCAGTCTCTGACTCACTCTTCTGCGCTCATGACTGACAGAAAGCTTCATTACCGCAGCTGATTGTGTTGATATGCGGTCCACTGATGAGTGGCATTTTTTTCTTTTTGCATGGGAAGAACTCCCTTAAAATTTAGCAAAAGTGTAAAAATTATCAGTAAAACACCCACCATGCTAGGCAGTATTGTGACGTGGCATTTTCCATAGGGTATAGTTAGCCTTGTAGTTTTTAAGCTAAAGCTGTATTTCTCCAGTGAAAATACACTAATCCTTATAACTATGCTGGTGGGTGACAAATCTGCTGGTGTGAAATTCTGATACACATCTATTGTTACATGAATCTCAGAGGTCTTGAACTATCTCTCAACATACAGGGTTGCTGCAAAGCGCGCACGTGCACATACACACACACACACACACAGAGGAAAATGCTAATTATGGAGTCTGGCTGTTCTCTATATGTTGTTTTCATTTAACAGTACTGAGTGGAGTGGAATTTATTGGCTGAAGTTATTATATGAACATCACAATCACAGGAGGAATCCTCATTATTCAATTATATCCATGTTACAATTACGTGTAAGCCCCAAGACTCTGATGACTTTCTTCTGAAACATACATAGTACTGAATTGCACTAAAGAAATTCAGCATACTAAAATAGCTACATTTAAGAATTTGCTCTAATGAATAGGATGGACATCACAAGATTTAATGCTGACTAGACAACCCTGCGACCCCTTGGGTCATCCTTTGAGAGAAAGGTAATACAGTCTGATGTGACCAGAATGAACATTAAATTTTAGGCTGACCATATATTTTTTTTACCCCTATGCTTGACAGACCTGTGATCATCTAAGAAGAGTATATACCATAAACAGAGAAATAATTCTAGTGACAGACAAATTTCAATAAGTCAATATTTACTTACCTCAACAGATAAACAGAATGACCACGGGCAGGCAAAAAAGCAGTGGGAGTGGGAGCGACTTCCAATTTCCTGCCAGCTTCCCCATTGATTTTGCTTGTGGGAAGCTGGCAGGGAGCATCGGAAATCACGATCACATGACCGTGGGGATGCTGCAACAGCCACAACTTTGTGAATAAAACTGGTGTGAACATCGTGGAAATTTCAATTCCACAGGAGTAACGGGTCCTGGATTTTTTGCGCATTCTTTAAGTTACTGGATTTTAGGTACCTTGATTCAAAAATTGTGGCAGTATAATGCACTGTTTGGGCTAACTTGAGGGTACAAACAGACAAACTGATAAACACAATGAAAGTTTTAGTAGTATATAGGTAATAATTAACTTTTTAATCTTCCCTTCTGCTATTCTTATGGTCATATCATGGAACATTATTTTATATGATGGTAAATTTGCAGGAAAACAAATTTGCCATCTGGCTCTACCAGTTTTTGAAAGCGAAGAACTAAATTTTGGGCATCTGCTGGAACTTCCCTACTGCTTTGTATCCTGTTTCCAAATGGGAGAAGAAACTGAAGGACAAACTATAACCATGAAGAGGCATTGGAACTGTCTGAACTTTGTCACATTCTGTAGAGAACAGAAGGCACTGGTATACAATCAAATCAAAGTAGCTCTTCCAAGAGGTTAATAGAACTCCAGCACGTTAAAAAACGGAACATTTTTTCCATTATCATTGGTCTTCAAAGAGCTGGAAAAGCCTCCGGCTTTATCAGCTTTGTAGAATTGTAACTGCCCGGAAATAGAAATCCCCCAGAAAGTCTTCAAGACCTTCCTTTTTACAAGTTAAAAGATCTGAGTTGTTTTGCATCTCTTTGAAGAGCTGTAGTGGTTATCTGCAGTTCTGCAGCTCAGTTCTGGTACACCTACTTTTACTCTGGAGGTGAGCAACCGGCAACCTTGGTCTGATTTCAAAAGCATTATGCAAACAATCAGTTTAGACCTCTGGCAGGTGAAACTTTTTATTCTAATAATAACTTTTTATCTTTTTCTAATGCCTGCTTTTATTCACGTGTTATTTTAACTGTTGTAGGCGACCCAGAGTCGCTTTGTGTGAGATGGGCAGCTATATAAATGTGATGTATAAATAAATAAAATAAAATAAACTTCTCTTGCCTACTGAGTCTAAATTAAAATAGGTAGCAGTGCTGAGAAAATGCACGATAGTAACAGAGAAAGAGAAAGAAAAGGATAGTGAGAACACACTATCCATTTCCTAGGTTTAGTGGGGATCTGTAAATATGACTATTTATTTGTAAATAATAGTTTAACAATAATTTACAATAATATGACTATTATAATAGTCATATTAAATATGACTATTGTATTTGTAAATATAACCTTAACCCCAGCAAACATTAATGAACGGATTTTGCAGAGTAGGAAAAATAGCATAAGAAATGTAGCCGTCTCTATGCATTAGAGAAATAATCGGTTCGCCGAACCCGCACGTACCGGGGTCAGCAACTAGAGCCCACCCCGAATTTAGATACTTAAGGGCTGGAGGTGGCAACCTGCAGCAGAAGATCTCGGATCAGGTCAACTCTGTAAGAAACCCTGCCAGGGGGAAGTGCAACTGCAGTTCACAAAGAGTTAATGTTCCGAGAGCGCCAAACGGGTAAACAACTCGGTCTAGGACTGCACGAGACGCGCCGCGCGCGCGGCAAAATTGGAACATGAAGTCATAAGTGCACCTAAAGTTTAACCAGAGCCGAGGCGGGATTCCTAGTCTTCATCCAATCGAGAAAAGCTAAGCCACGTCCTCCGGCCAATCCCAAATAGGTATTCCTTTGCCACCCACTTCAGCCAATCCGCAGAAAGCAAGAGAACCCTACAGCACGGCGGCGGCGCTTCTTTGTTCTGGTCCTGTATCTGAGTCCCCAGCAAAATGACATGGTGTGTGGTCCCAAGAGGCCCGCACTGGGAAAGCCCCATTGCTTTCTAGAGATCGCGATCCTTGTAGCTACTCGATCGGGCAGATAGATCGGTCCGAGCAACTGCTGATTACCACGACACACATCTCCGCAGCCACCAAAGCTCCTGCTGTAC